GAAGTTAATTTTTAAAATTTTATAAGAGTTTTAGTTAAAATTGATTCAATATTAATTTATTTATAAAAAAAGTTCAATAAAATTTTATCAAGAAAGTACTTATACTATATTTTATTTCGGATGTGTGAAAAATTGACAGACTTAGCGCATAAAACCTCAATTATGTAGGAACATGTTGAATTGCATATGATCGCATTATTTTAACAAATTAATTTTCATTTATAATAATACTTTTAAAGTAAGTTTTCAATCTTCATAAGACTATTTATAACAGTATATTTGTTAGATTAAAATATCACCATATTTAACAAATTTTATTAATTTTATTTCACAAAATAACATTAAATTTTCAACATTAAATTTTCTTTCCTTTCAAATATTGTTCCTTGATTTTCATTTTGCTAACGGTACTTAATGCAAACCCATATATAAATTATACTAGAACTATTGAAAATCAAACCGGAAGTGCAACGTAGCTCAAAAGTAATTTATTTAATTCAATCCCATATGAAATTGTACTAGAACTATTAAAAACGAAACCAGAAGTGCAATGTAGCTCAAAAGTAATTTATTTCTCATATCAAACATTCCATAGAATCGAATGTAAACTGGACTCAATTTAAAGGCAAACATTATTTGTTCAACCTGTAAGTAAAAGATTTTAAATTTTTATTAGACATTGTAAGTATTTAAAATTTCTATTAATAATAATATTAAAATTAAAGCAAATAACCGGATATCATAGGTTATAATTCTTGCTGAATCAAATTGTAATTAAATGAAATAAAAATATACAATGTTACTTAGAGTATATTCTATATAATTATTATTTGCAACAGTTACTAGATTACGAAAAAATTTGAATTATTATTTATAGAGAAAATTCCTAAATTAAGTTTGACTCGTAATAAGAGAATAAAGCAAGTATAATTTAGTAAAAATATTTTTTCGGAAAACTTGAATTGCTAAATTTTGATTTCAATGTCGGATCAGTCCAATAAAATTATCGCATTTTCTTCAAATTATCTATTAAAAATTGGTATATAGGTATACTTAAAGATGGTTACTTGGAAGAGAGAAGAAATGAAAGAAACTCTTTTTTTTCTTTGGTATTAGCCACATTGTATAGTATAGAGTCTATAAAACATTGATAAAATGCGAAAATTTATTCTGACAACTCAAGTTACTTGAGCCTTATTTTCCTCTTTTTCACTTAAAATTCAATCAAAATTCATAATATTATCAACCTTATTGTCAATCTCACTCGCAGAATTCTACGAATTTCAAACTAAGCTACACACGTAGACTTTCGAATAATTATAAATTTCACTCGTAGAGATTATAAATTTTCAATGGCAACATTATTTTTCGGAGTGTCAAAATCGATATTTTATAACAGCTATGTCTTAAATTTTTCAAATTTTATAGTAAATATTTAAAAAAATATTACTCTATTACGAACTTCGTAATAAATTTTTACTTCTTCGGAATTCACGAATACGAAGTTCGTAATTTTTCCGAATTTCAGTGCTATGAGTGAGATTTGCAATAGGGGTGTATATTTAAAATTATTAAATTTAATTTACTTTAAATTATTAATTTTTTTTTTTACAATATAACAATAACAACGTGTAGTTGTTTATATATTTTTTGCTCTTAATTTCTTATAAGATTTATTCTATATAAATTTTTTCTGCATACAACTACAGTTGAATAGAAAAATGACGTCACCAAACGAACAAGTTAAGGATTCAAACCAGTCACCTACCACTATATATCAACTGAATTACAGAGGTATGAAGAAATTACAGGAAAATTTGTTCTATTTAAATTATTATTACTTTAAATTATTAACATTGAAATATACACAATATTATATTAATATTATTAAATTACCGAAAATTTTAATTTTTTTAAACCACTAGTGTATAATGATGGCATTATTATAATTTCCGATATAATAAAAATAATTTTTAATTTAATTTTTGTCATTAAATCGTATGATAAAACAATAACAATTGCATTTATAATATTTGTAATTGTTATTTGTAATAAAATTGAAAATCGATTTTTAATAAAAAATTGATATAAACAAAGATAAAATAACATTAAAATTGTATTTAAATTTAAAATTAAATTCAAACTAATTAAATGTTGATAATATTTATTAAAATTTATTGTAATTTTATGTATTTTTAAAAATAATCTAAATAATTTAATTAATTCAAATTTAATTGATGATTGAATTTTAAAATTATTATTATTATTATTATTAATATTATTATTGTTATAATTAATTTTTGATATTATCATCATATTTAATTTTATTAATTTATAAATTTTATCATATGATATTAATACACCAATATTAAAAATAGATGATATTAAACCATAAATATCATAATATAAAAATATATATGCATGTAAAAGTAATATAAAAGTGTTTGTAAAACTAAAATAATTTTCATTATTAATTGAATTTTCTAAATCAAAAAATTCTTCAATAAATATTTTTATAATAAATGAATTTATAATAATTATTAAAAATATAAAATATGTTATTGAATTATAAATATTGAATTTTCTCCGGTAGATATTATCAATTTTAAAATAAATTATTTTTATAATTTTAAATAATTGAAAATATTTTATAATTATATTTGTTCTCAATTCTTGTATTGAAGTATAAATAGTACAAATTGATAAAATTAATTCAAATATTAAAGTATATAATGTATTTAAAAAATTAATATCTAGCTATAATATTTGTATTTCAATTTTAAAAGTTAAAATACACCAGCAACTTATAATAATTTTTATTAAATTTAATATACGAATTTTACGTTTCGAATAAAATTCATAATTTTTATTTATTTTAACATAAAGTACACCTAAATATTCACAAAATTTAAATGTTATATATGTAAGGAAATTCGAAATTATTAATGGAATAAATTGGAACATTTCCGTTCAAATGAATTTTTACAAGTTTATTGTATAACAATTGAACGTAGTACTAATGATTTAAAATAATTACTAAATTAATAATATTTTTTACTCTCATTTTTTTAACAATGTTAATTAATTTCTTTTAATTATTTCATTTAAAATATTATTTATGATATTTAATTATTTAGAAAAAATTTTTATATAAATCATAAGTTTATAATTGTAATAAATGCAATTTGTTCATGAATACAACTATAGGATATTTGTGTAAGAGCACAGTTATAAAGTATTGCAATCAAATTTATTAATAATTAAAAAAGCCGGTTTTTCTGTTATAAGGGATTGTATCGCATTCAACAAAACGCAAAAATTTTTGATTAAATGAAGAAGTTTTAAACAAATACAAAACTTTTCTATAATTACTCTTATTTTCGAGAAACAATTTTCACACACTGGGGTCTACCGAAAAGCAAAATTTACACGAGAAGAAAGTTATAAAACTATACTCGAATACGAGCTTTTATGCTATAGGAGCAATAAAATTTTTTATCTTTCTATATAAATTTCCAGTTACTTAAGAACAAAAAACTACCGAAAAGCTATTTCTCGGATATTTTTATGATCATTCAACTTTTTATCGTAAACTAATAATAAAAAAGCAAATTTGCATGTACTTCTCGAAATACTTACATTTATTTTGAAAGAGAAATCAATAAATTAAATTCTGTTGGGGTCTCACCAAACCCCAAGGTGAGTATCTCGGGTTTCTACAGAATAACTTTGAATTTTCTAAATAATTTGTAATACAAATTTATTTAATTTTTTTATAGAATTTTTCCTAAAATTCTAAACGAATTTGTTAATTGTATATAAATATATTTTTACATATATTAGGTATAGGCTGTGCTACATCTGTAAAATATTAATTAATTACATAATAACCCCACTTATAAAATTATTAAAATTTTACTGTAATCTACCAGCTCTACAAAATTAAAATATAAAATAATTAATTAATAATAACATTTAATTGAGAACCCCTTTTTAATTGTTCTGTTAACTTTTTGTTAATATTTATTAAATTATTGAATTAAATAAAAATTATTAATTAATTTATAATTAATTGTAGTTTAATATTTAATGGAAATATTTAATTTATAGACCATTTTATCAGATTCAGATTAAAATATAAAAAATTCTAAAAAATTGATTGAAAAGTTTTTTGTACGGGAGTTTACAATTTCCTTATATAATTTTATTTTCAGTAGCAACAGGTTTTGTTTACAATAATTTTTTCCATTTACATAGGCGGTTATATGATTAATGATAGGTAATTAAAAATGGTTCGATGGTTAACATAGCGCTGTTCCTAGGTACACGTCAAACCATAATTAAAATGAGAATTTTATTTTAACAAAATGTGAAAGTCTGCAATGTCATAAGTAACTTTAATGCCGGATATCATTCAAAGTCCAATTCTAAATTATTATTATTTAATTTCAAATAGTCATTCAATAGACAAATATTTTCAGTTCAACTTTTATGCTACAACACCGCATTAAATATTATATTTACAAATACTTCCGATTTCTTATCTTTATGTTGAAATCAACTTGGGCAAACATATAATCAATAGAACAATATAAATATTTTGCACTGCTATGACATAACATTCATAACATTACATTTTCCGCATTCATAAAGGTTAATGCAGAAGTACATTTCCGTACATCTCTTTGAAAATTTTATTCATATTAGTCATAGTTAGTCAAGCTTTCTATTTCAATTTTTTGCAAAATTTAAATAAAGAACACTTTGTTTTTAATTATTTATTGATATGAGTTCAACTAGAACCATTGCTTTCGTAAAGTTTTCTAGTACTTCAAAAAAAAAAAAATTTTCTTAAGCAAATAATATTTACAAAACTCAAATATAATAATCAATTATAGCTTGATAAATCCTTATCAATAAAAATTATAACTTATCGTTTCATACGATAAAGATTGTATTTCAAATGAAAAATATTCTTATATTTGAAAACAAGACTTCACTATAAAAACACCGTTCGCGGATAAGAGCAAATTAAAAAAAAAAATTATAGTATACACAATGACAGACAGTAAATTTACCCGAGATTCAACGATTAACAATATAACTGAATCAGTTGAATCCACAGATAATTTTTTACATTATTACAAAAATGATCACAAAAATATTGGAGTTGCCTTGATTTTTAACCAAAGGAATATAAAAGACAAAGAAATAATATCTATACCCGATTATAGGCCAGCTACCAAAAATTTTGTACTAACATTGAAATCGTATGGATTCGATGTTCGTATGTACGAAGATTTAGAATACAGTGCAATTGAAAGTGTTTTAAGAAGAGGTTTGCTTGCTTAATTATACTAAAATCAGAACCAGTCCGCATTATCATAAAATTTCTGTTTATAGTTGCAAAAGTAGATCATTCAAATAATGATTGCATATTAATCACTATACTAACACTTGGTACTCAAAATAACCTTTATGCATTTGATACAATGTATCCAATTGATAAGATATGGGAACCATTTTTAAATGGAAATTGCAAGACATTAGAAAATAAACCAAAAATATTTATTATACAGGTAAGTGTATTTTAAAATTCAGTCTGCTTAATAATTCCAAGTAATGAAATTTAATATCTATTTTATCTGCTTAATAGGCTTCCCCTTGCAAAAAGGTAGACACAGGTGTTATTTGCGAGGATAAAGGATCCACAAGCATACAGATTGCAGAAAATATTACAGATATTCCAATTAAATATGTTTTACCGAGTTCTCCAGATCTATTTTTATTTTATTCGACTTTCAGCAGTATGTTTCCATATTATATTTTTAAAAATTTAAACAATTTTTCATTTTTGATTTGAATTTTCAGCTTTTTATACTTCGAAAAATTCAAAAAACGAGTCATGGTTAATTCAAAGCATAACAAATACTCTGAAAAAAAACCTAAATAACTTGAATAAGGATTTAGATTTGTATCATCTTGTCTCAGCTGTTAACAACGTAATTAAATCAAATTTTAATTTCTGTGGAATAGAACATTTAAATGAAGGTATTGTTATGCCAATTCTTATATCGACATTCACAAAACAATTTGTTATAAAACCGAGAACGACACACTAGGAACTGCTATTAGTGTTTGTGATTTTATATTTATATAGGCAAAAATATGTAACTATTATTCGAAGGCTGCAGTTGTTTATAATATAATAATTTAATAGTTAATTTCTATTAAAATGTAGTTTTTAATTTAAAAAAAGAAATGTGTTTTATTGCAGAACTGAATTAAGTGGTTCATTTAAATGAGATATTTAAGCCAACAATATCTTCTTTCTCAGTATTCGGAATCCTAAAATCTGGTGGTATAGCCATGGATGCAGAAGATCAAGTACTGAATGTTTTAAACTGATATGGCTCTAACTCAATATGTTCAAAATAGGAGTTACATAGCGCAGTTTAACTTTAAGGAGGGCTTGAGACAGATAGTCTGTTTCAGCTTGAGTAGACTTAAGAATTTTGGTTGGGAATAACATGTCGCCCCTCAACAAATTTATAATTATGAAAATAATGGAATCAAATGCACTAGCTACGTAGAGGGTCAATGCTCGTCTCATTAAATTGGAACCTTTTTGCTAGACATTCTACGAAATTGACCTTCTTCTGACTCATTTAATAGATATAAATATGAAAACCAACTGATTACTTATCTGATTAATTAAATAAAAATATTTTATAAAAACACTTGGCTGAGCATGCAAATTGATTGCTCATATCTTAAAGAAATCCTGGTTTTTTGTAACGTTTTATTCAAAGTTTTTAGCTGTAAAAGGTATAACCAGGTTTCGCTGAAATCGTAGGAGTAGACCATAATTCAAGTTCGTAAACTGCGTATAATTGAGTAGACCATAATTGAAGTTCGTAACTGCGTATATCATGTATCACAAATCACATATCACATATACAATAGCACATATGACATATCACATATCACATATCATAAATCACATATCGCACATCGCACATCACACATCACATATCACATATCACATATTTTTCTTTATTCAAAATTTAGGGTTACCTACGAATGCAACTAATAACTGCTAAACTATGATGATAATCATGTAGTAGCTATCTGTTTAAGCTTATAATTGAAACATGATAATTTTATGGTCAAATTTAAAGCTAATTAATATTCTATGTTAAATTCATTGAAACGTACTTCAAAATTAGTTATTTTAGATCATAAAATTTTGAGAAAAAAATTTTTAGATCTCATAAGCTTCATATTACATTACTTAAAATTAAATTTATCTTAAACTCAAAATTATCCTTTTTTAAGAAAATATTTTAATAACATATTTTATGAACCTAAGATTTTCCATATCCTCCTTAACAACTTTTATTTTAAACCCATACAATATACTAGAAAATTTTATGACCCACGAGAATAATATTACAAAAGTTTTACTGATTTTTCCTTGTACTAACCAGAATATATGTATGAAATTATAGTGAATTGTAAATATCCTAAAATTTCATATAAAACTCCAAAAGGTTTCACGCAACAAGTTTCCTGTTCTTTATTTTTGCCTTTAATATGCGTTTTAGATATAAGTTTTATTTGGATGTTGGCTAATGTACAATAATATTGTATACACCTACTTAAATGATTAGTTACGAAAAAGAAGAAAAATCGAATCATCCCAATTGATATTTAAAAAGTCTGTTTGATGTTATATGAAGAAGCTCAAAGTATTAAAACTTAAATTCTATATAAGTGAGAACTATCATATTTGTTTTTCTATATATAATAAAATTTATAGTTTAACAAGTTATAAGAGAGATAATTTTGAAAGTCATATAAGTTGATCCAAAAATGCGTGATAGTGTATGTGTGTGTAAATTTTAATAAGATTTGTTGGAATAATAATTTTGTTGGCATTTACTAATTTTATAAATCGAAAAAGTTTTCAAATAATGTGTGTATTTTATGACTTGCGTAAAAGTTTGTCGTTTTTCTATTTTTTTTCCCCTATATAATTTTCTACGAAATATACAATTAAAGTTTAGTCATATGACTGTGATTAAATTTCCATCAATACTTAGGTACTTATAGGTTTTATTTCCGATGCTAATGTGAGTGTTAGGCGAATCTTAATGCTAAATGGAAAATGGAAAATCTATCTGATATAAAAAAATTTTTCTTGTCATCAATATTAAAATATTTTTGTGTGCATAATATAATAAATTAGTTTTAGCAGGAAAAATGAATTTTTTCCATATTTACAATATTGTTTAATTTTGCCTTAAGTGTATTAAATTTTTATAGCTCTCATGAAATAGTGCGAAATTTTAATAAGTTGTGGTAAAATTGCAGTGACAAAACATTTTCAATCAATCTCGCAGTTGCGCCATACATTATAATAAAATATCTGTGTATTCTAATTTTATTATGATACCCTCTTTATTATGGCTCTTTTTATAATTTTAATGTTGCATACAACTCCATTCAATTTTTATTGTATTATATAAAATTTTGTGAAATTAGTGTACTAGATGTTGCCAGAAAATTGTGTTTCACATATAAATTACGGTTTTTAAGAGGTACTAATAGGATTCCATTAAAAACAAAATTAAGGCAAAATTGAAAACAAATTATAGCTACTCTCTGGTCTTTTACAGTTACAAAAGGCCAAAATCTTTTATTTTAAAACCGATTGCTTTAATTTAGAGTGAAAACCAACCAAAACAACTAAAAAAGCAGGAACCAAAAAATTTTTTAGAGAATTGGAGAAACCAACAAAATTAGCAGACGTAAATTATTAGCTTGATCCAAGAAAAGATCTCATATCATCAAAAAAATTTTGTGAAATTAATTGATTTGCATTTTAATTTATAATTTAAAATTTTAAGAAAAATTGCATATTTTTAGGGGTACAAATAATAAAAAATCAATTTTTTTTTAATTTTTAATTTTCTTTTGTCAGATTCTAAAAAAATATTTGATCATCATGTAAAATAATGATTAACATTCATTTCAAAAGGACATTTCCATCTAATCATTGAGAAAACTATGCATAGTACACAAAAAAACATCAAAAATAAATCATTTTCATATCAATTGAAGCGGCCAAATAAAAGTTTTTTTTTCTTAATTAAAAATTTTTTCGAAAGGATATTCAAAAGACATTAAACTTGGAACTATTTCTTTTTTTTAACCAAAACTGATTTAATTTCATTTTGAGAAGATTGCCATTATTTACATTAATATTATTATAGAGAAGTCTAAGCGAAAATTCCTATTCAATTTGTAATAGTTTAATTAATTTTTCTATATGAATAATAATTATGCTATAGTTCAGCAATATTTTGAGAACCCGATTCGCTTTATTACATAGAATGCATGCCCAAATAATAAAAACATTGAACAGAACAAAATATTTTCAACCTTAGTATCATGAGAGTTTAAGAACTTATTTTTTATCCAAGATATGGCTATACTATAATAAATTAATTAAATTTCGTGAAGTATAACAAATCACCAAAATCAAAGTACACTGCTGTTAATATTAATTGGTTACCTCCTACTATAGAACTTGTATTTACCTATAAACATGGCCAGGTCTGCTTGTGGGCAATTTCCTAGAAAGGCTTCTACTCTTCTGCCTCTTGAGGAATATTACGCATAATAAATCACTTTCTTGTTACTTTATTATACTGAGTTGCTAGATTAGCTACACAGAAATAAAGCCTGGAATCAAACTTTCAGCTTTTTGCTTTTCAATATTTGGAATTAAAAGAGAACAAAATTTTTTCTCATAAGAATTTTTAGAACACTGCAATTGAATTTCAATAATATGAAATGGTACAATACGATTATGAATATGTGACTATGGATACGTTTAAACATTAGAAATTATTCAAATTCTTATTATAATTTAACCTTATAGTTCTACAGATCATTAAACTGGTAGTTCTCAATTTTCTGCATTTTTCAATTTAAAAGAAAATGGAAATGATTTTGAATGGAAATAAGTTTAAATAATTTTAGTATTCAATTCTTTTTTCACTTTTGGTTTGGAATTTAATAAACAGAAAAAAAAAACAATATCCATTTAGTGACCCTATTCTCTTTACCAGGCTATACTTTATAGTAGCATGCAAAAGTACATTTACAGGCCCAATATACAATGTGTATGTTTGCAAATACACACAATCACTTATTAATTTTTTTTTATTTTACTTTTTCCTATTCAATTATTTGAATTTCTACTGAAATTTTATTTTATTTTTTTATTTTCTTTGTTTTTGTGTTATTGCGCCCTAATGAATATATAAATAATTTCCGATTTTACAGAAAAAAAAAACGTGACATCAAATGAATTTTATAGATTTTCAAAAAGGATTTGAAATGATCCTGTGATATTGTAACTTAAAAGACAAAAGAATCACAATTTAATTAAAAAAAAATCTTTTGTCTTTGATTTCATTTTTATTAGCTTTAATTTTTTTTTTTTTGTTTTTTGTACTTTCACAATGAAGAAAATTAAAAATTTTGTTCCTACTTTTATTCTTTTGAAAAATTCTAATGTTTTTGTTCTAATCGTTATTGCCACTCGGTTTGACAATAAAAATTAATATTGACTTTCTAAAAAAAAAAAAACAAAAGACAAAGAAAAAATATTTCTTTTAAATTACTTTTTATGTCAAGAATAAATCAGGAGTAGTAGCATGTAGGGTACGAGTTTATAGTATTAGTGAACAAAATATTGAGATGTCGATAGAGGACCAGGAAAAACTTACAAACGCATATAATTGGATGGTTTTTGGAGCGCGTTTATGTTATAATTTTACTGTTTTTGGAACTAATTTCATTAAAAACTACAATTGTGTAACAGCGTATACCTAACAAGTAGGAACACCAAAAAATAACATCGATTATTAAATATTTTGCGGTTGATTGTGTCTAAATCATATTGGAGAATTTAAAATGTAAGATGTGACATGTTATTAAAATTTTTTGCTTTGATGTTTCTTACACCGCTTATTAAAAAATTTAATTAAATTTAAAGTAAAATGATCGGGTAATAATTCGAAGTTGAACGACAACTGAATTTGAATTTTTTATAACTAACTTAGACTAGCTATATTTGTCTCTGAATTTATTACTAGGCAAGTGTAATTTTCA